GTACCGATCCGCGAGACTCTACTAAACTTGCTCATGACTCGCGAGACCTAGTAACCTAAGCTCTGATACAACTTGTCACGACCCAAAATCCCAACCCGATCGTGATGGCGCCTCTCGTGAGGACAAGGCCAGCCAATCAACAAAACAATACATCTCTTTATTATTNCAAAACGGCAAAAATCTTCCAAAAATGACCCGTTGGGCATCCGAAACACATCCGAGGCTCCCGGGACCCCATCCAATAATACCAACCAGTCCCAAAATACATTATGGACTTGATCGAGGCCTCAAATAACATTAAACAACGCTAAAATCATGAATCAACCTCCAATCCAAGTTTTATGAACTTTAGAATTTCCAACTTCTATTTCTGATGCCGAAACCTATCAGATCACGTCCGATTGACTTCAAATTTTGCACACAAGTCCAAAATGACATAACGAAGCTACAGAAATTCTCGGAATTCCATTCCGACCGTCGGATAAAAATTTCACCTATCAACCGGATATCGCCAAAATACTAACTTCGCCAAAATGAGCTAATTTCTTCATCGGACCTCCAAAATTAATTCCGATTGCGCTCCTAGGCCTTAAATCATCCCCCGAAACTAAACGAATCATCAGAGATCAATTCTGAGCCCTCTAACTCACAAGTCAACGTCCGGTTGACTTTTTCAAACTAATTCTTCCTTAAAGAGACTAATTGTCCCATTTCATACCAAACTCGATCCGAATTGACTCAAATTCACCAAGTACACATATTGAAACATGAATAAGCATTTAACGGGGAATACGGGACGAAAATACAGGAAACGACGGTTCGGGTCGTTACAGGGAGGGGTAGATATTATTAATTTTTACCCACTTATTAGTTAACTTGGTAATGTCCTGTTATCCGGTAATTAATCAATTATCCGCATAACTTAAAAATTATCACAAATTACTTAAAATTCTATTTATTTTTAAAATACTTCATATATACTTTATATATTATACTACCATGGTTATATGGTACCTTGAATGGTACTAGTTTATAATTATTGGGTATTATCGCTCGACCCGTATTTTTATTCCAAATTGGCCACTTTTAACGAAACTCGTTTTCTTTAATTCGTGTACCCTTTATCCTTCAGGACACTTATTTATCGCTTGTTACAAATAACGTAAATACGTTAACGTCAAAATGAGCTCATCCCATAGTCAACGTCAATTAACTGAAGACAAAACCTTTAACGTACAAAAATGCGAGGTGCAACAGTCTTGTAGTTCCAATTGTAAATATCCAGTGGATCTCCCGGGATACTGTTCCGTAGTCCAACTCATAATGCGAGGGGATCTCCCGAAATACCAATCCGTAGTCCCAAATGTAAATACTCCGTACAGAGAAAATCTATTGGGTGTAGTCCCGTAGTTCCACTACTAGAAAATGAATTTATTGGAACGGTTTTTGGGCAACGGTTTTGTAACTGTTACAATAGATCATATTTTGGAACGGTTTTAACCATCCCAATAGAGTCAAAAGGCTTCTGGCACACTTCTGAACAATAATCATTCCAATAGTATATTAACCGTCACCATAAGTATCTGTATGGAGACGGTTTTTATATGCGATACAATAAGGTTGTTTGTGGGAACGGTTTCAAAATAAAAAGCTATTGGGGCGGTTTAATTTTCCCTCCTCCATTTCCCTCCTAGGTATTTATTAAAAAACAAAAATAATGGACCCCACTAATATTTTAGTAACTCTAAAACACAAAACCAACCTAGAAGACATCGACTTCACTCTCAGACAACGATTCCCCCAAAATCTCAAACACCTCTCTCTCTGTTCATCAACCTAGAACCCACCGGCGAACTCTGTCGACCAGCTCCGGTAAAGGACGATTATTTCCGGTGAGGGACGACCATTATCGGCTAACATACCACAATCTCTGAGGTAGGCTTTCGGGTTTTACCTGTTCGATGTTTGCTATTACTATTCGATTTTGCTTTCTTCTTCCCTAGTCTGAAAAATTATTTCATTGCTCCCTCTATTTTCTTTATGGATAATATTTCTGATAAACCCATTATTTTGCTTCTGTTTTGTTTGTATTATGCGATATATTTTGTGATTTTTAGTTTGCGAAATTGGGGGATTTATTTGTCAGGTTTTGATTTTGTGTTAGAAACCATGAGATTTGATGTTTGCTATCGATGTTCGATATTCGATGTTCAATGTTCGATGTTTTGTCGACAATTGCTATTCATGAAGACATCAGAACTGGAAAGGAATGGCCATGGAAAATCCTGTAGCAATATGATTGAACCTGTAAAACGTGTTTTGGATGGAATGTAGCCGGGAGCAGGGGCGGAGCCACCTTAGCTTAAGTGGTGTCATCCGACACCACTTCGTTGGAAAATTTACCTATATATATATTTGATTAGTATACAAAAACGAACCAAATATGTTAAAATTACATTACTTGTCACAAAGGAAGGCGCAACTCTGATGGTGAAGCGCCTAAACTTATTCAGAAGTGTCGTGGGTTCGAACCAAATAGTTACGCATCTATGTGCTTTTAACTTTTCAGCATATAGGGTCTAGGGATAGTTTGTATTTCACTTGCTACTACTTATCTTGCATATTTTCTTCCTTTTTTTTGGCAATGATTGAATGGCCATGGAAAATCCTGTAGCAAAATATGATTGAACCTGTAAAACTGTCACGACCCAAAAAATCCTTCCGAAGGAGTCGTGAGGGCACCTAGTCTCTAAAGTACGAAATCCTAACATTAACTGAAATAACATTGATATTTACTAACTTTAAATAAAATTACATTGAATAAATTAGAATTCCCAAAACTGGTGGTACAAGCCATAAGCCTTTCTAAGAGTAGTTATACAACAATAATTATATCAATGTTCCGAAACAAAAGGAACATATGGAAATAAGTACAATTGAAGGTGACTCCGAGACCTGCGAACACTACAGCATGTTTACCTTGAGTCTCCACCACGACGATTCACACAGCTACTATCGATCAATACCTGGATCTATACACAAAAATGTACAGAAGTGTAGTATGAGCACACCACGATGGTGCCCGGTAAGTATCAAGACTAACCTCGGTGAGGTAGTGACGAGGAACTATCAAGACACCTACTGGTCAATTAAATTGAACAGAATTTGATAATAAACTATCAACCTAAAAATGACAAGTAATATCAACAGCAGGGAAAGAACGGACTACAATCAAATGAAACAATAAAGAGAAACACGGATGGAAATGAAAGATAACCAATTAAATTAACATCAACATAGTTGGAACACAAACAAGTAAAAATATACTCAAACAAGGAAGGCAATGTCAGCTCAATAAATCATATCGTTCTTGATGCACAATTCCAGTCATCTCAACTCGATGTCTCATATCATAACCTCAATTACCAAACTTTTAGCACACCCGGCACCTTGTGCCCACATATTTCTATCTCTTTTTACACAACAACGTTCTCATGTTACTCAGTACATAGGGTCCATAATCAATACAATTAAGATGTTCAATGAGTCTCATTTACGTAACATAAAGTAGAGTACAACTTCTAAGCTAATTAGAAACTCAGCAAGAAAAGATAAAATTATTTTCAGAAAACATTTGAATAAAGGAAGTTCCATTTTCAATTAAAATACAACATTGAAAGAATTATTACCTTTATCATGGGATTTAAAAAATTAACTTAGTAGAAATTCCATTTAAGTAAAATACAACCTCAAATGGTTTAAGGAAATTTAATTGAGTAACTAATTTAATTAAAAAGAATCAATTATATATATAAATACAACGAAGTATTGAAAACTTTATGGGGTTCCATCACAAGGGTCATGACAGTAAAGAAATTTGAACAATTAAAACATTTGAATTGATAACTACAAAGAAACACAATAAACAGAAAGTGCACGGCATCACCCTTCGTGCTTTATCACTCTTCCTCACAATATGCATAAATAGAAATGTGCACGGCATCACCCTTCATGCTTTAACTCTCTCTCATAATGTCGTGCATGGCATCACCCTTCGTGCTTTATCACTCTTCCTCACAATATGCATAAATAGAAATGTGCACGGCATCACCCTTCATGCTTTAACTCTCTCTCATAATGTCGTGCATGGCATCACCCTTCGTGCTTTACACTCTTCCTCACCCAAACAATAGAAACAATAACATCACGGCAAGGAAGTCATCAATATGAACATCCCGGCAAGGGAGTCAACAATTGAAATAATAACATCACTGCAAGGGAATCAACAATAGAAATAATAACATCCCGGCAAAGGAATCAACAATAGAAACTTTGGCAAGGGAATCAACAATAGAAACAATAACCAATCTTGTTTCAACAGTTAGCTTTGCAATATAGATCTCAACTCGAGTCAATACTCAATAATGGACAATTACCAAGAGAATGTCATAAGTCTTGTTCGACATGAATAATTGTTAGTTTAAACAAGAATAGTACATAATAAGGATCAAGGAAAAACCAAAAAGCACGATAACCTCAACAAAATAACCAGACATAATAAGCACGTGATAACTATACCGGTAACCACAACAATTGGACATGTAGCATGTTTACACGAAGTCATAAAGGAAACTCACAATCAAGAAGTATCAAAACAATAAGGAAGGCAATAACTACAATTAAGGCAATTAAGGGTCAAGTAACACGTACGAATTAGAGGAAAGCTAATAACATCATATGGAGCATATAGAGGCAATTTAAGCAATTAGGAAACCCAACCATAACGAGATACTTTCCACATAATGAACATAAGGACCTAAGAACCCTAGAGGCAAATTTTCCACAAATAAGCCCGAGTACACACTCGTCACCTCGCATGCACGGACTACAATTAGCATAGAAGACTCAAATCCTAAGGGGAAGTCCACCACACATGGTTAGGCAAGATGCTTACCTCAATCCGACCAATTCAATACTCAATTTAGCTTTTCCTTTACCAATTCATCAATGCT